GGCATATATGAACAAAAATATAAATATATATGCTTAAAATTGATGCAGAAAATTAAATGATATAATATATTGAACATATATATCTCCATTTCTATATAATTTTATATCTCCATTTCACATAGTTAGTAATATTTATGCCAATTTATGCTCTATTTCCTGCTTCACATAGGCCATATCTATTACAGCCTTGAGATTATAGTCCTCTGTTAATCATTTAGGCCTATATCATTGATTCTGACCATTGATCCATAACATTGTTCTTACAGATTTTCTATTCTCTTCACAGTTCATTAGTTTAAGATTATATATAGTTTATCATATCTAGTTAATACAGCCAAATTACCATCTCTTTCTTCGGACACTATTACGCTGACAAAGGCAGCAGGTGCTGCCGAAAATTTCGTTGAATAAATGTAAATGTCTCAAATTATGTCAAAGTGTCCGGCGTTTATGTTAACAACTGCAGTGTTATTTTATATATATAGTGATAGTTTTGCATGCTGTATTATGACGTATAATGACGTATTGTTGAGTAATAAGCAGGAAAAAGCAGTTATAGTATTTCAGCCGACATATTTGATTTTTGCACTACATCGATAGTTCTTTTTCTTTATTTTAATAGATTTTGCTAGCACAACAATACCCGCAGTTCGGATATCGTAATAATCTATCGTCTGCACTATAACATTACTCATTATAAATTTTGTAAAGGCAAGAAAAATACATTTCTTGTAAGAATAATACTTTAAATAGTTTTTACTTTAAACCTTGCGTTTACTTACCTCATCCAGTACAGCATTTAGAAATCCTCCGCACACATCTCCACACTCTCTAGATCCTACGGCCCATCGACATCTTACAGTATCACTGTCCGGATCAGTTACTAATTTTAAAGATTACATTTTCCAACAAAAGAGACAAAAACAAAATCCCTATTCAAAAAATTAGAGCAGCTTGCTCTCAACCTGTGCCATGTTTTGTAATGATTGATTAAAATTATAAGGTGTTGGTGCCTTTAACAATTGATGATTTGCGAATCAATGTTTACAGTTTATGCTGTGCAGAATATATTTCTGTTCCATTCTCCTTTACCAGAAAACCCGACTTATCCACGAAAACTCGGGAAATCAAACCAGGGTCTCTTATCATAGCTAATTACACTCTAATTATCAGGAAGGCTAGACCGCAGTACATGAAGGGTTATTGCGGCTGGGAAAGTCATTATCTCAAAAGAGTGCTGCCATAGCAATAATCAATTCATACTGAGTTTAAATTAAATTTAAGCTTTCTCTTAAATTCCAATACCAAATTGATCAGCATGCAGCCATAGGCATAATCCAGGCATTAAAAAATAAGCAGTTTCATAGAATAACTTTACACAAGACTGTACAAAGCCATACATTAAAATAGTTGTTCCTGTATATATTGATCCACATTTTCATACTGTACTATCAACTTCGCACATTACATATTTCAAAATTAATCCTCACAATTTGTTTTCTAAATCTGGGTCACATATTTGCTTCAAAAGGATTACTATTGAATGGGATTATAATACCATTTAATAATATTAAAGATATTTTGCAAGTGAAACAAGTACAGTAATACTGGTGCAGTATATATTTATTTATTATAAATTTGGCATGCAATATAAACCACATGCGTAAAAAACAAAAAAGTGTGTGTGTATATATACAGTGTTCGAATAAAGGCCATAATAATACATCGTGTAGCATAGCTCTCAACGAATGTTTTCCTGTAAATAAATTAATAAAGAAATTGTGTATTAAAATGCCTCTCGCTGTCAAGGCGAGCGTCAAAACCATTAGACCACGGAGGCTTTATGGTTAAACAGATTCAAATACCACCAGATACACTCCATTACACAATAAGTACGGCTAGAAACAAATAATTGCATATGCTGTAATATAAATGTATTACGATGTATTATTATGTTCTTTATTCGAACACTGTATTTACCTTTCTTTGATGATTTATGTATATAATTTAAGAGAGAGGTCGCAGGCTCGAGTCCCGCCAGAGGCATTTTATTACACAATTTCTTTATTAATTTATTTACAGGACAACATTCGTTGAGAGCTATACTACACGATGTATTATTATGTCTTTTATTCGAACACTGTATTTACCTTTCTTTGATGATTTATGTAATATAGTGGTTAAGGGATATATGGTGGTTAAGGTAATGGTACAGTCTGGTGCTGCATTTCCAGGACTAGGGCCAGATAGCCCCAGGGTGAAAAGCGAAATTAAGTAGCCTGCTGGTGACCTTGTTCCTTTACAAGTCAACCTTAACTCCTTGTGGTAACCACTGGTAAACTGTTCCCTTGCGGGTTCAGGCCAACAAGTCTCTGACTAAGTGGGCGGCTTAGGGTGCCTTCACTAAATTTGTACAAATCCCTCCAACAATACCTCAACGGAAACTCGGGCGGAAAAGAGATGCGGTATTCTCTTAACGGTTAAAGAGGCGGAAGAAGGTAGTGTCTGATGGACAGATTCTTAATGGCGGACTCACAGATAGATAGAGTGTCCGGCAGTCCATTGCAGCGTTGGGAAACTCCCAGTCGTTCCGATCCTCGTGCCACTGGATTTGGGCTACTGACGTCAAGAAAGTTGGGCTTAAGAATGCGCAGCTTCCTTCCCACTTTAATCAAAGCAAGGCGCAGGAGCAGTGGTGGCTCTAGGATATAATTTATAGGGGCTAAGATGTCCGACTGGGGGGGTTAAATATTATAGGTGTAACTATTGTGTGCAGTGTTTATCTGGGGGCCGAAGGCCCGAGCCGGGGATGGGTATGGAGGAGGATGTTCCCTCCTCCCAAAACAAGATTTTTTAAAACAAATATTGGGACTTCTAGATGGCCGGAAATGGCTGGGATGGGAAAACTGCGCCTATTTTTTTGTTTTATTTTGGCCCGACTGCCCGACGTACTTTGGCCGATGGGAGGGCTTGACCAAACCGATTGGGTGGCTTAAGCTCCCCCTGCCCCTCCCCCGCTGGCGCCGCCACTGCGCAGGAGCCATCCAGCTCTTTAATGAATAAGTGTTATTTTAATAGTACTTAATAAATTATAGTAAGCCCTGCAGTGACAGGCAAGCGACGACGGGATCAGGCGAAGGTGATCGCTGGAAGATTTTAGTTGTGAACCTGCACGAGGCGATGCTAGCAAGATGGTCCTTTCTGTGCTGGGATTGAGGTGGCAGCACTACTCGGCAGCTACTGGCATGACTGAGCAGCCCTTTTTAGGAACCTCGAATGGGGAGGGAACTAGAAAAGATGTCCCAAACATAGCCCGCCTTGCTAAATCCGGCTGGAGAACCGCATCCAGCAGAATCATCCAATTTTAGCTTTCGAAAAAAAATTAAAAAGAAAGATTTGAAATTAAACTTAGCTTGGAATGTGCGGACAATGATGGACTGGTTCAATCAAATAAACCAGAAGGAAGAAGTGCAATCATTGCCAAAGAGCTTCTCTGTCTTAACGTGGGCATAGCGGCCTTTTCTGAAACTAGACTCTCGGGGATATGGCCAAATTGTTAAGCAGAGCTCTGGTTATACCATCTTCTGGAAAGGAAAATCAGCGGCAGATGGACGAATACATGGTGATGGAATCGCCATGAAAAACGACTTGTTCTGCAGGCTCTCAGAAACTCCGGATGGAAAGAATGAACGATTGATGACTATGCGTCTTCCATTGGCAGAAAAGCGCTACGCTACCATTATTAGTGCTTATGCACCGACACTTGATGCAGATGCACTAGAGAAGGAAGTCTTCTATGAGGACCTTGATGGCATTATTCGATCTGTCCCTAAAGAGGACAAAATCAAACTTCTTGTAGGAAGGGGTCATCTTACATGGAAGGACACCATTGGACCAGCAGGAGTAGGAAATATGAATAGATATAGCCTTTTTTTAGTGTGCAGAGCATGAGCGGACTATAACAAACACGCTTTTCGCATGAAAACACAACACAAAACCACATGGATGCACCCTCGCTCCAGACATTGGAACTTGATTGAATTTGCGATTGTCAGAACCATTGATAGACACGAAGGGACAATCACCAGAGTTATGATTGGTAATGACAGCTGTTCCACTGACCGTAGCATTGTCAGATAGTAAAAATAAAATCAATAATTTGAAAATATGAATTAATATGAATAATAATAATTGCAATGTCAGTAATAGTGATAATAATAATAATGATACTCAATAGAATTTACTGATCAACATGCAGACACATCTTACCTGGAATTACCAATGTATGGTTGCAGCCATACTGAAGCCGAACAACTGGTGTAATAGAGGAAAGTGGAGATGAATTCAGCCTTCCAGTATCCTGTCTCCTCGTCAAATTTACAGACATTGGGAGTGACCACCCGCCATTTGAGCCGATAATAAGACTACCTATCCAATTGCCACCAGTAAATCTTTACATCATGAAATAGAATAATAATAAATAAATGTTATTCTTGAAAATAATCCGACATTAACTACAATAAGCGTCACCTCGTCTTACACGTTATATACATTCAAGTAAATTGTTAAATAAAATGAAATTTCGAACATTCTAAGTATTTGAAAATTTCTATCTTATTAGCGCTTCAAAATGTGTTTGTGAACCAGCTTTTAAAGATCTTAAAATGCTCATTTATATAATATAAAAAAGAAAACAACACAGCCTTAACTGACCGCACCATTTAGTGGTAGTATGTTGATGGCAATTATGAACCCGAAAACTCTCAGTATAATAAATTAGGCCACTGTGTACCGTATTTAAGCATGATATTTCCTCCATGATTTAAGCATGTTTTAGCAGTGCTATCAACAAAAAGCCTCGTCTAAAAGTTACAAACGCTGAATAGAGGTAACCTCAGTTTAATGCACGGACCGGTCAGTGGTCGCTCTTGTTTGCCATTATAGCCGATTGGCTTAACTCCGATGAGATGAAGAGCTCTAGAAACATTTGCCTAATTGATTAGTAGATCTTTTCGGCTGGTTTATTAATAGACATTATTTGTATGGGCGGCCGTTATGGCCAATATACGCTACTACCTCTATTATACTGCCCTCATTGGAACTTTCGTGATTATGAGAAGTTGTTATTTTGAATCTGTAATCTCTTAAGTTTTTTACGTCTGTAAATATGGAGTTGCTTATTTGCATTTATGTATTCATATCTTCTGCAACTCTATTTGCTTAAATTGTTTTGTTTGAATTTTTGAATATTATGGTATTTTGATTTATATCATAAGGTTGTGTTTTGAACTTAACTATGATTTGTTTCAATAGTTCTTTTAACTTTTGTATTTTGGAAGTAACCTTTTGTATTTTGGAAGTAACTGATTTTTACTTCGTAGTATTTTGCTTTTCGTGTGGTTTACAATTCATATAATCTTTTCTATTTTATGTGCTTTACTTAGTATTTTTGTGTAAGTACTTTTTACTTTATATATTTTTTGGTGTTTTGAATTGAAGATTTTAACTAATTTAAATATTCTTGCTTAAAGTAAGTTTTTGAGATATTTATGTCTGTGACGTCAGAAATTTAAATGACCCTCAAATTTACACCCTAAACTGGATCACCAACACATAATATTGTCTTCCTTGTAACTTGGGTAAACTTTCTCCAAAAGTTGTATTCAGATCAATTGACCAGTTTTTTAAATATCTGATGCAGAGTGTTTGTCCTTAAATCCCTTTAATTGGTCTTCACATTAACACCCCTACATTAGATTGGCACTAAATATTAGAAGGGACATCCTTGATATATGGTCTATGCTTCGACAAATTTTGGGAAGAGAGCCAACATTTGAAATGACTAATTACCAGTGGAATAACCCAGTGCAAAACGATAGGAGAAAAAGTATGTAATAATAAAAAATAAAAACACACACAAATTTACTATGTCTGTTTGTGAAACAGAACATAGGGCTTTCTCTAAATTTTGGGAAAAGAGCCAACCTTTGAAAGTGGCCAATTGCGGGAGGAATAACCCAGTGCAGAATGATAGGGAAAAAAAGTATGTAAGAAAAAAAAAACACAAACTTACTTACTATGTTTGTTTGTAAAACAGAACATAGGGCTTCCCAATTGCTTTAATAAAAAGTGATGTTGAAACTCCAAAAAGAAAAAAAAAATTAATTAATTAAACTCACTTAAAAGTCAAGCGTAAAATAACACACGAAAAACGAAAATGAAATCATACCGAAATTTATGAAGTTAAAACACACAAAAAGCAACTCGACTTCAGGAAAACTCGAACTATGACTGGTACAAATATTAAAAATATGTAGAATGATGTCATAATTTGAAATGCACATCGTTGACATTGACTTTGCTTGGACAATGTTTGAAGATGATTCAAGCATGGAAAGTGACCAAAGTGCAGGTCAGAAAAACTCTGTGCAAAAAAAATAGGAAGACAGGATAGAAGAAGAAAAATAAATTAGCATTTTAAATAAAGCTTACTACTTATTTGATAGGCATTGAGTTACTATAATATCACTTCATGTAGGCTATGCTTTCTAATGTTGAAATCAGCTTCCAAAACCAATAGACCAGGCTATAATTGAGATAGGTGCCACTTGGAGAGGTAGAAATTCTCATATGGTTTTTCTAGACCAGTTTTTTATGGGGAATCAGAATATGTGAGGTAAAAGGGGCGTAACCTCAGAACTTTCGCGTGAGGGCGATTTTTTCAAAATGGCCGCTAAAATCCAATAAACTACATATATATAGGTAAAATAAGCACAAAAGAGGTAGGTTTGACCAACTTTTGAATATGTAATGATAGGAGTAAAGTATAATTAGCGAAAGTTATTAATGTGAAGATGTCGAGAGGCAATTGAGGGCGCTTTTTAAAATGGCGGCCAAAATTGAAGAACAGCTTAACAGCAGCTTTAATACCCTAAATAAATTTGGTTAAATTTTACAAAACATGAATGTAATAACTGCTGTTGACTTTTTAAACCCTAAATAACATATTTTAGGGTGTAGAGCTAACTCACTTTTGGAAATGTAAGTAAAAATGCCCCCTTATATTAGTCCTTTTCTGTTTACAAGAATGGAAAATATCACCAGAATCCTAAAAAAAACCCAGCTTTCTTAGAAATATCCGGTTGTTTTTCATTATTTTTGTGTACTACACAATGTATTCCAGAGGACCACACAAGTAACTACCATAATTTACATGTATAAAGGCATTAATTCCTTTATTACATAATTGTCCTTTACTGTGTAACCCTATGTTGAACAATAATCTTCATGTATTGCTAATCACACTGCAATCTGAAAGTCTACGTCTTTATTATAAACAGTTCTTGAACGTCCATGGGCATCACTCTCTCTATCATTTTTTGCTTCATTTGATCATTCCATCTGTTGTGAATATTATTTTTATTGACCAAATCATTTACGTCTGCTTAATATTAATCTAGGGTATTGACTGTCTCTTATACACATCTAGATGTGTATAAGAGACAGCTGTAATCTTGCTTGATTTCACATCTTGCTTGATTTACACTTTTCCCCTTAACTCCATGCCAGTCTTCAAGTTCCTCAGATATCTTTTGTGACAGAACACCTAAAACTTTAAAGTTATCAGAAAGTGTCAAGACAACTTTGCCTTTGACTACAGAAGCACAAGATCCAATAAGGGATGATTTCGATGCCTCCAGAATGGAACGGTTGATATTTATGTATTGGTTGTAATTCCTTAAAGCATACTTTGCATGCAGGACAACTTTTGAGTCTGCTTTTCTTGGCTGCTACGAAGATCTGGAACTAATAAAAAATCTCTTTCAGTGACAAGGATGCATTCTCGCCGATAGCAATTAGTATTCAAGAAGGTATCCAGCCAGTTTGTCGAAATCCAGTTTGCCGAATCCAGTTGTTTACTGAAATCATGAAATCCCAGTTTGCCAAAACTCAGTTTTCCGAAACCCAGTCCAAATCTCTGTGTTACAAAAGTACAGCATACTGTGCACTTGAAAGGAAGGAGCTTCATTTGTGTACAAATTAAAAGAAAAATATTGGAAGACAAAAAAGCTGTAGAAAAACACACTTGAAAGCAGGGCTATCAGTTAAAATTAGAATAAAATGAAATGAAATTCATCGTATCCTTCTAAAATTCTCCCTCTGCAAACCCTATCAGGATTGTTGTGCCAGGTCCCTGACCACCGAGGCTCAAGTCGGCCCCTTGAGTCAGACCCCCTGTCGACAAATTTCGGGAGCCCCAATTGATATGTGTGTATATTGTAGATTATTATTACTTTGTTTATTTCCTTTTAAATTCATATTTTTTAAAATATGAATTTATGTATTTATCATAGGTATGCTAATAAAACGTTTTAACTGCGAGGCCTATTAAATTGAATTTTATTTGCTGATAGCTGATTGATTTACAGATTAAAAGGAAAAGAATCATTTAACTAATAAGCCGATATTTCATAGACAAATACATAGTAAGAGAGTGTTCCAACATGAATGTCATGCTGTAGTTAATGTTTTATGGCTTTTATTTTATTTTCCAAAAACTGGGTTTCAACAAACTGGGATTCGTAGTTTTTGATTCAGCAAACTGGCATTCGGCAAACTGTGTTTTGGCAAAGAGAAATCGAAAATCTGGCAGTCAGCAACCTGGGGTTCTAAAATCTGGCGT